GGACAATCCCACTTTTAACTGGCAAGATACAGTATAAACTGGATTTTACATCCCACTTTTAACTGGCAAGATACAGTATAAACTGGATTTTACATCCCACTTTTAACTACTTCTTTGAGTGGCATTTTAGAAGTTGGGAAGTACAATATAGAACAAACTTTATGGATAACAACTTCTTTTTATTCGTGAGTACGACGTTTCGATACAGATTCTTGTACCGTTGTCAAGCATAATGATTATTATGCTTGACAACGGTACAAGAATCTGTATCGAAACATCACACTCACGAATAAAAGAAGTTGTTATCCATAAAGTTTGTTCTATATTCCACTTTTAACTGCCATGTTAAAGTGAAAAAAGAGAGAATATAACATCCCATTTTAGTCTGACAAGATGGCATCCCACTTTTAACTGACATTTTAAAGGAAAAAAGGGTATCAAATCCCATGTTTGTCTTACAAGATAAACCTCTGCACCAAGAATGACTATATCCTTTTTGAGTAATAACAAAGTCATACACTGGGTATGACTATTTAACTTTTGATATGACAAGACAGTTAGTCCAGCATCAATGAGCATTGTTTGACACTAACACATATAGTGACTTGTTGAATATAACACATCTGTATTATTAAACAGACGTTTTGTATGACACACCATGCAGTTAGTCAACTGGTGGATCAATCAATCCGAAGGAGGCCTTTGTTAATAATCGCGTGATTAGCGACTAAGGGTATGTATTTCAGTAGGACCATGATGCATTCAGTAAATATGTATTGGATCAACACAACATTGCCAACATCCCCAATGGAAAGGAGTATGACAAGATAATAAAAAATATATTAAAAAATTCAAATATGTAATTCAAAATATAACAAATTTGAAAAGTTAATAAGAGGTAATGAACAAAATGTAATTTAAAAAATAGCTACTTTATGTATAAGATCAGAAAAGAGAAATAAAAATAATTTCCATACTCCTTTCCATTTCTTGCCATTTAACAAAATAAAACTACTAACCGTGCCATGATAACCCTACAGGGAAGAAAAAGAGACATACAAGGTAGAAAAGGAAATGTGAAAACAAATCAAAGGTGCTAACAAACAAAACGAGCAAATGGCCACTTTCTCAACAAGCAAATGGAAGGAAAAGAAACAGAGCAAGGATCATCGAACAGAGGATGCCAGTCTAGAACAACTGGTCCTGTTAGTTAATAGAGATGCTACAGAACTTAAAAAGATGTGACTCTGGTACAAGCTCTTCTAGGACTGGCATATTCTGTTTTATGTAAAGCACAAAAACTAAGGGATGCAAATGCAGGTAAAACTAATCAAACATTAGCTTAGACTTAAAAGCATGTTTCATAAAAGAAACCTAGCTTTTAAGTCAAAGATCAAACAAAGCCTGTCACAATAAATATTTGAAAGTTATATAACTTTTCATGGCATTGTGTTTTATTTATTAACAGTGTTTTAGCATTATTGCTATCCATTTCGAAAAACATATTTTTCAAAAAAATATTTTATAAGGGTATGGGTTTTTTTACCAAAAAATCCCCTTTGTATATATACTGTTCAGTATGTGCTAAGGGCCAAACCAGTCATCTTCAGTCAAAGGCATAATCCTTAGCAAATGCTGACTAGTATGTTTAAATTCATGTCTCGGGATTGACAAGAATGTGACAAACTTTGTAAACTGCGGAGCTGTGTAATGTTATGTTCAACACCAAACTGAATCACTGAGGTCAAAGAAATATAGAATTAACTAAAACATTCATTTGAGTGCAAAACTGTTAGAACTGATGGGAACAATTTTCAGAACATACCTAAGCTAAACAAGCATCTTGTACATTAAACACTTGACGGGTAAAAAAGGGTATAAAAATATGGCTGCCACATTTTCTCAACAAGTGGAGCCTTAACCAGCAAGGCTCACTCTGCAAGTGATGGACATGTTTGGAAGATCAGAAAAAGTTCATTACTTTGTAAAAGTCACAATTATTTTAAAAAAACATACAATACAAAAGGTTTCTTCTTCCACCCCAAAGACAAAAAAGAAACTGTGAACGTATGCACAATTTTCCAATCAATCCCATGTCAGAAATGAAATTGATCACGTTGAAATGAATTGATGTAGATTTCGCAATGAAATGTTAAAGGCTTCAGATCACAGTTGAGTCAGTTATGGATGAGTTTTGCACACAATTGACCACACCGTACATACAACAGCTCATGTCTGCAGATTAAAGTAAGGATTGACGTAGGAGAAATTTCTGAATGCATCATCGTCTATATTCATGATGATCAGACTGTCGATTGGCGTCAGTTTCACAGGGATTCGCGTGAATAACTTGTCAAAGTTCTCAGCCTTCTTTGGATCATTCTGGAAGTGGGAAGTGAAAGAAAAACATAAAATATCTATAAACAAAGCAAAATCCACGACATATATGTCCACAAAGCTGAAATCTACCCTAAATTATAGTGGTATGTGCAATATTAAGTGATTTGTGTAAGTCATCACGTCAATGAATTATCCTCCATATCATCATCTGAAACACTTATATTAAATTAATAACTGAAATAAAATTACATAAAAATCTGAGAAACAAACTACATAACAGCATCCATATAACAAATTAAATTTTCAAGTTACCCACCCATAAAATATTTCAAATTCAACATAAAATTTCCAAAACATTTTGAAAACAAATGACTTGTAATTTGTATTATTCAGCCAGCAGTGAACCTTGTTGTGTTACAGGGAAACAACACGACTACCTGGTCCTCAAGCTACCTGGGAAAGATGTGCTACGAACACACACAGGTAAACGCCACAACATCAAAAGCACTAAGAGAAATAACATAGAGTACAGAGAGACAATAATTCTGAGATGTTCTGCTGTCAGACCTGTCATTTGTGTTGACATCACATGATGAAAGTGTTCGAATATTTCATTTTCAAAACTGAGCCTTTCTGCGTAAATGCAATATCTCTATTCTTACCTGATGCTACACAGTGCTAAAGATACCATCAGGTAAGATAAAACTATTATTCTCTACAATATTTGACACAAGAGAAATAAAGAAACCTTACAATCCCTAAATTGATATGTGGCATGTACACAGATTAGAATTTTTGAATTTTATCAAATTTGGAGTTTCTGTACTTCCTTTCCAAAACAGGAATTCCTGATATCTCAGAAGATTAACTCATGGCATGAATGATGTGCAAGGTGAATAAGGCAGTTTTCTTTGGAACAAAATATTTGTCTGAACTGCAGAACATCTTAGGATACTAACAGAACACTACCAGATATCTGACACGTGATGTTTCTCTACGCTCTAAACCTGAATCGTCCTCATCATAGGCCACATGTTTGTCATAGCAATATTTGGTAACCAAAAACATCATTCTAAACATATTGGGATTAATTCAGGTAATTTATCCAAGTGTATTTGAAAATATTTGAAAAAGCTTTTCATGGGAAAACTTATGGTACGTTTTTGTCGGTAATTATTTATTAAATTAGTCTTTGAAAATTTCATAGTAACAATTTTATAGCACCACAATGATGATCCAAGTAAAGGGTGCCAAGTTGACGAGGCAACGCTTTAACCATCAAGTTACTCCACCGCCCCACACCAACTGTGATAAATGACCAGATATACACAATTTATTTAATGTTATTAAATATTGAACTGGTTTTATTTTCAGCTTGATGTAGCATAGTAAATACCTTACCGAGACCCAGACGTATTTTATGACTTTTCGGATGGTCATAATTTAAAATCCTGTCAGACTCATCAGTTTTGATTGAAAGAAAAGCAATTGTCAAACATTTCATCTGACAAACCACCACCACCACAGTTACATGTAATAACATATATTTATACAGCAGACTTCCATAATCTCCCACTGCATCAACTCAGCTGAAGAAACCTATATGGACAAAACTAGAATCGTCATGGAAACTGGAAAACGGAAACCTGGGATTAAATCTTGAAAGCTAAATACAGATAGCTTCATTCAAAAGAATAAAGTCAGTTCTATTTAATATAATCTGTACACCGATAAAACTACCACTAGCATATGATGTTGAACATAACACAGATTCCAATAATGTTTTACCAGCCTAAGCCAGCACAAGCGTCATTAGCATTCAGACTTAACCCTTTCCTGCGGGAATCAGTACTGACAAGGAGCCTATCCCATCCCTACAAGCACAGGATCATACTCTTGAAACAGGGACTTTAACAGCTCGCACAATCGATAGCTCATAGGATCTTAAGCAACAAAACTAACAGATGTACTGTTGTGGTCAGTGTTAAAGTCAGACTAGCAACCATATGTTTCGAAATAAAATAAAAATTGTTTTCAGGTAACAATTTTTAAATCTGGTGACATGTTCGCTGGTGCTAAAAACCCTGAGCTATGTGATTAAAAGATGAAAACAGACTTAAAACACTGTCACGTGAGAGTAGTTCTTTCATTAACTCTAAAGTTAGGGTCCTGTAATGTGTATGAATGGGCTTGGCTCATCCTACAGAGATTTTCTTGAAGAAATGGCAACAATGGTTCTGTGGTTTGTGAAATACATGATCCCTCAGCCAATAAAATCAAAGTATTGAAAGTAACAGCATATTATTGATCAGTATGGAATAATCAAACTAATGATGCATGTTGTTAAGGACTATTCTACTATGTCCATCAGACGATCAGAAGCATCTCTCAAGCCAAAACCTATAGGCAACCTTCACCAGAAAAACAAGTTCGGTCATATCTCTGCATACACATTATGAAGCAACTTGTCACTATCATAAAAATATTTCGACAGTTGATTTTCTGCATGTGTGTTTGTGATCTTGCAGAAATGGTCTAGTCTGAATTTCTAGTTACTGTCTAGATTTTCAGCTTGTACATTCATGATATTGCAGCGAGCATCTAATCTCAACTTGTAGTTACCATGATGCTGAGGCGGCCAGTCACCTGAAGATACTTACAATCTTGGGTTTATAGGGAGGCTGGATCTCCATGCCTTCTATCTTCTCCCAGTTTATTCTTCTGAAGAAAGCATGATCCTTGATGTCTCTCTCGCCAGTCGGGCCACACCCAAGTCGCTTCTGGGGGTTCTTTGTCAACAGCTGAGGGAAGGCAGAAATGTGATTGTGCAAATTCTTTACCCCACAAGCTAGAAAATCTACTGCTATATGTACCAGAAATTATACATTGGTGAAACCCACATGAACTACATACATATTTTGTAGAATTATTTTACAAATATATGCATGCACGTACATGTTTTTCAAACACTAGCACCAACATTTGTCATTTATCCATAATATTTTTTTTAATGAGAATCATGGTTTTCATGCAGAGAAATTTTTCTTTTAAATCTGCAACCAATGATGTACACAAATGTTTCTTTGAATCTGCAACCAATAAGACAAAATGCAAAAAAGTGACAATAACTTTCCGTAGGATATCAACTTCTGTAACATGAGGAACACAGCATTTTGAAGTATATCTATCACTTGATCAGGAAGCAGGAATATACTTGTAACAGGTCTTTGAATGGCATTTACAAGTGGTACACGTAAGGAAGAGAGTTTTATGGATGTCAACTTATTTATTATGAGGAACACAATGTTTCGGAGTATATAACGTTGTGTTCCTCATAATAAAGAAGTTGACATCCATAAAACTCCCTTCCTTATACTTGGTGACATCGTGTTCCTCATGTTATCAAAGTTGACATCAATAATTTCCCTATTACTGTTATCTAACTACTGCCACACTACAATATGGGCCTCTCCTCACCCCCTTGCAGATGGATACGGCCTCTCGGGACATGGACTTGGGGTAAGACACGTTGTGGTCAGTGATCGACGTGAACAGCTCCTCCTCGTCCTCACCGTCAAATGGAGGCTACAAGTACAGGTCAAGGTCATGGAATACACAGATACAAATATAATTCATTGCCAATCAAATATTATTCTTAAGGTTATATCATTGGATAAAGCTTTTGGGAAATTATAAAGGGCGATTTCTTTTTTTTTCAGTAATACTTCTACTTAATGTCCATGATTACATTAATTTGCTCTTGTAGTGGAGATCATAACAGATTATTCATACGTGATGAATATGTGTGTGTGTGTGTGTGTGTGTGTGTGTGAGAGTACGCGTGCGCACTTTCTTGCATGTGGCTGTCTGTACTAGTCCACATTAATACTAGTTACATAGTGACAGCTAGGAGACACTTCTGCAATAGATTGACACTGATACCCCACTGAGACAGACTACACTAACTCTGAGCCAGCAGGCCCCATCAACAACAAGCACCTTTCAAACATCTTCAGGTATGTAGCGAATGGACCAGAATAAAATACATTGCCAAGATCTGGGATTCAAACCATCATATTAAAACAGCATGACGTACGCCTACGTGTCAGTACAACAAAACAGCATGACGTATGCCTACGTGTCAGTACAACAAAACAGCATGACGTACGCCTACGTGTCAGTACAACAAAACAGCATGACGTATGCCTACGTGTCAGTACAACAAAACAGCATGACGTATGCCTACGTGTCAGTACAACAAAACAGCATGACGTATGCCTACGTGTCAGTACAACAAAACAGCATGACGTACGCCTACGTGTCAGTACAACAAAACAGCATGACGTACGCCTACGTGTCAGTACAACAAAACAGCATGACGCATGGCCTACGCCCTCGTGTCAGTGCAACAAAACAGCATGACGATGCGCCTGCGTGTCAGTGCAACAAAACAGCATGACGTGCGCCACGTGTCAGGTACAACAACACAGCATGGCGCATCGCCGCGTGTCAGTGCAACAAAACAGCATGACGCATCGCCCTACGTGTCAGTGCAACAACACAGCATGACGTGACTCCTGCGTGTCAGTGCAACAACACAGCATGACGCATGCGCCACGCGTGTCAGTGCAACAAAACAGCATGACGCATTTTCACGCGTCAGTACAACAAAACAGCATGACGTATGCCCACGGTCAGTACAACAAACAGCATGACGCTTTGCCTACGTCAGTAGTACAACAAAACAGCATGACGTACGCCTACGTGTCAGTACAACAAAACAGCATGACGTAAGCCTACGTGTCAGTACAACAAAACAGCATGACGTATGCCTACGTGTCAGTACAACAAAACAGCATGACGTACGCCTACGTGTCAGTACAACAAAACAGCATGACGTACGCCTACGTGTCAGTACAACAAAACAGCATGACGTACGCCTACGTGTCAGTACAACAAAACAGCATGACGTATGACGCCCTACGTGTCAGTACAACAAAACAGCATGACGTATGCCTACGTGTCAGTACAACAAAACAGCATGACGTATGCCTACGTGTCAGTACAACAAAACAGCATGACGTACGCCTACGTGTCAGTACAACAAAACAGCATGACGTACGCCTACGTGTCAGTGCAACAAAACAGCATGACGATCGCGTCACGTGTCAGTGCAACAAAACAGCATGGCGATGCCCTGCATCGTCGGTGCAACAACACAGCATGGCGTGCCGCGTGTCAGTGCAACAAAACAGCATGACGATGCGCCCTCGCGTGTCAGTGCAACAACACAGCATGACGCATGCCTACGTGTCAGTGCAACAACACAGCATGACGTGACTCCCTGCGTGTCAGTGCAACAACAACACAGCATGACGTACGCCTACGTGTCAGTGCAACAAAACAGCATGACGTACGCCTACGTGTCAGTACAACAAAACAGCATGACGTACGCCTACGTGTCAGTACAACAAAACAGCATGACGTTTGCCCACGTGTCAGTACAACAAAACAGCATGACGATGCGCCTCGCGTCAGTGTCAGTACAACAAAACAGCATGACGTAAGCCTCCACGCAGACAGTACAACAAAACAGCATGACGATGCCTCGCGTCAGTACAACAAAACAGCATGACGTATGCCCTACGTGTCAGTACAACAAAACAGCATGACGCACGCCCGCGTGTCAGTACAACAAAACAGCATGACGTATGCCTCGCGTGTCAGTACAACAAAACAGCATGACGCGTGCAGCCGCTGACGATTGTCAGTACAACAAAACAGCATGACGTATGCCTACGTGTCAGTACAACGAAACAGCATGACGCATGCCCTACGTGTCAGTACAACAAAACAGCATGGCCGGTGATGCCTACGTGTCAGTACAACAAAACAGCATGACGCATCACGCACGGTCAGTACAACAAAACAGCATGACGCATTTCCTACGCAGTACAACAAAACAGCAGCTGGCGACGCACCTCACGTGTCAGTACAACAAAACAGCATGACGTATGCCTACGTGTCAGTACAACAAAACAGCATGACGTACGCCTACGTGTCAGTACAACAAAACAGCATGACGTAAGCCTACGTGTCAGTACAACAAAACAGCATGACGTATGCCTACGTGTCAGTACAACAAAACAGCATGACGTACGCCTACGTGTCAGTACAACAAAACAGCATGACGACGCCCTGCGTGTCAGTACAACAAAACAGCATGACGTGATGCCCTACGCGATGTCAGTACAACAAAACAGCATGACGTGCGCCTCACGTCAGTACAACAAAACAGCATGACGATGCCTACGCGTCAGTGCAACAACACAGCATGACGCGATGCGCCCTGCGTGTCAGTGCAACAACACAGCATGACGCATACGCCTTCGTGTCAGTGCAACAAAACAGCATGACGTACGCCTACGTGTCAGTGCAACAACACAGCATGACGTACTCCTACGTGTCAGTGCAACAACACAGCATGACGTACGCCTACGTGTCAGTGCAACAAAACAGCATGACGTACGCCTACGTGTCAGTACAACAAAACAGCATGACGTATGCCTACGTGTCAGTACAACAAAACAGCATGACGTTTGCCTACGTGTCAGTACAACAAAACAGCATGACGTAAGCCTACGTGTCAGTACAACAAAACAGCATGACGTAAGCCCACTCACGGCAGTACAACAAAACAGCATGACGATATGCCTACGTGTCAGTACAACAAAACAGCATGACGATGACGCTTCTACGTGTCAGGTACAACAAAACAGCATGACGTATGCCTACGTGTCAGTACAACAAAACAGCATGACGTATGCCTACGTGTCAGTACAACAAAACAGCATGACGTACGCCTACGTGTCAGTACAACAAAACAGCATGACGTACGCCTACGTGTCAGTACAACAAAACAGCATGACGATATCGTCTGTCGCGGTCAGTACAACAAAAGCATGACGCATGACGCAGTACATGGCGCATACACGCTCAGTACAACAACAAAACAGCATGACGTACGCCTACGTGTCAGTACAACAAAACAGCATGGCGTACGCCTACGTGTCAGTACAACAAAACAGCGGTAGATATTATCTCGTTTTCCTTCATATTTAATGTACATGAGACTAAACCCAACAATTTGGAGTTCAGGTAGGGCACTCACATCTAATAAACACACATGGTGCTTTAGATTACATGGGCTTCATTATGACACAGTTCAGTAACAACACCATGATCAAGCGTCACTGGGAACACTTAACAGGAATATCTTTAAAGAATTGTAGACAATGTCCTATTTTATGATCAAAACTATCTGGGTATAAAACTTTCACCAAAGACATTAAGTTTCCATAAATATCTTATAATCTGTGAAGATCCGGGTTAGAATTGATCTTCAGCAACCCATTCTTATTGTAAAAGTGACAAAGGGGATTGGTGGTCAGGCTCACTGACATGGTTGACACATGTCATCATATCCCAATAGATCGATGCTCATGATGTCGATCACTGTATTGTCTGGTCTAGAATCGATCATTTACAGACCATCACCACATGGCTACTTCAGCAGCTTCAGCAAAAAAACCAACATAAACCTGTTAATGTGCAATCATCATGAATTGAAACTTCAGATTAACACAATGTTGTTGGCTTGGCTTGAGGTGAGGTGAAATTGGGTTTAACGTCGTGCTTGAGAATATTTCGTTCATATGACGACGTGCATGCGTGTGTATGTGTATGTGCGGCTGCTTGTACTAGCCCAGACTGAAGCTGGTTTTATAGTGCTAGCTCACTGAGATACCATGCCGCAGTGAAGCATGAATACCCCACTCAGACACAGTATACTGACTCCGAGCCGACCAGTCCTTGTTGTACCCATTAATGCCGAGTGCCAGGCAGAGACCAACAAGTACCATATTTTAACGTCGGTCGGGGATCGAACCTCGCGACCTTCCGGTCTCTCCGGGCGGACGCTCTAACCACTACACCACAGAGGTGACCTGGCGTGGCTTGAAGGGGCGGTGGGGTAGCCTAGTGGTTAAAGCGTTCACTCATCATGCCGAAGATCCGGGTTCGATTACCCACATGCGTACAATGTGAAGCACTGGTGTCCCTCGCTGTGATATTGCTGGAATATTGCTAAAAGCGGCGTAAAACTACACTCACTCACTTGGCTTGACAGTAGGGTATCCTTATATTTGAGCTCATCAATATCTTAATGGCCTACATGTCATATCCGTGTTAGACCTGGTCTCCAGCAACCCATGTCTCAAGAAGCCACTAATGGGATCAGGTTGTCAGCTGGTGACCTGATAAAGTGCTGCTGTATCCCTGTTGTGGTGACTGACGCCCATGATGAAGGACTGATCCAGACTGGATTATCTACACTCATGTAGCTGGACCAGTGCTGAGTGCAGCAGTAAACAACGGTCAATGGAGCAGCTGTCCTGTCGGCTGATCTCATGCCCTTCAGAACAACAGGTACTACAAACATGAAATCTGTCTACTCCATCCCTACTCCATGTAGCGTTGTTCTAAGTCTCTAAATCCACTGTTATTATTTATGAACCACCATCAGC